GAGTTGTTATCACTTGATTAAACTGATTGCGTAACACTATTGACTGAATCAAACACATCCCGAAAATCAGTGAAGCCCAGCTTGGCTGTTGGAATTTATGCCGATGTTCTCGGATTCGCCGTAGCGTGGAGATTCGGTCGATGCAATCCTTCCCTCGGCAAAAACCACACTTGTTTGGACATATTCTTGTGTCACGTCCGCTAGTCAAGCGGTTAATCCGGATATCTGTGAAAATCCTTGTCCGCTTTATCAACGAGGCTGATGCTCTTGCAGCTCGCGCAGGTGATCATCATCATCTTTTACAGAATATAGAATAGAATTAATGTTGTCCAGTCTTCTTTTGGGAAAACTTCACTATTCAAGACGTAGTGAAACACTGTGCTCAGTGACTCTATAATGGTTGGGCAGAACAGAGTTCAGGTGGGGTACCGTTTTTACCCCCGGCAACTTCCTGTTTTTCATCACCATAGTGGTGGTAACGCTTTCCGATCTGTTGGGTAGGAGCTGGTCACACTGGTGCTCCAGGGCTTCCAAAAGAGCCGGTAACTGAGACGTTAAGTTCGTATCCCTCAGTTGTTATACAGCGTTTCATGAGAACACAAGTGACAATGTTTCTTTTTGGTGGCGACACAACCATCACTTACCGGTACCGTTTGCGGACTCCTGTAGACTTTTCCTATGGTGTGCGCTGACTGCGCAAAATCCCACCACGTCCACGAGTACTGCCGTTGCGCTTCCGGGGATACTTATTTATTGATCCTGAGTCCGTCTTATTCACGGCTAGCAACCAGTTGGGTGACCGTTGCTTTACCTGCGACTCGGGAACGCGCCAGGTAGCATGCGGCTCTCTGCATTTTCCTCCGTCACTCCACCCCACTCATTTCAAGTCATCGGCTCAAGCTGGGCATTCTCCAGCCACACTACACAATATGTAACTAGACAAATCATTCTTGATTAATTTTCAATGAACCATTCAATATCTTTAATCATTGCACGTATGTCATCAGGTAGGTTGCCACGGCGAGCGATGTTTGCCGAGGCAGGTAGCGATTGGAAAAAACGAAGGGCGGTTAAGCTAAGACCTGGCATGAGGGTATGAAAACCCTAACCAGGAGACTAGGTCACAGGCCCCGTTAGGCTCCCTGGCTGGGGACCTCGGGATGATGGTCATCGATGGTTAGCTACACTGAGTGATATGGCTGTGTCGCAAACAGTGGCGCAGGTGCATCCACTCGTTGTTTTCCTAACACCACTCTATATGTATTCCCTATCCTCCGCTGAATTTGCTTCGACATTCCAATCTTCACTTCGCTGTTTTATCCAAATGGTCAACCAAAAGACAGTAACCAAAACCGGCGCACGAAAGTGCATGGTTAATGGTTGTAAAAAACTAAACTAAACTAAATCATTGCACAATGCAACCATTTTTTTGCTAAGAATCATGGTGCAGAAGCTCTTGTTTTATGTTTTAGTTTATTTTTTCACATATCACACCCCCGTTTTTCCTTATTCCATAGGAAATGATGCAAGAAATAATGCTTGATTTTGCCCAAGGACGTTTAATTATCTCCCGAGTTGCTAACGTTCTGCTTTGTTTACATGGATCCAGAGAAGTCGGATTGGGTATGCTACGCGCCAAAGCAAATGCACTGATCAAGAATCTGGAAGAACCACTCCGGATTTTGGCAGCCTCATGAAATCGCACAGCCGGACCGTCACCACCTGTTCTCATACGCACATAGCCCCAAAACGTCGTGTTGTCCGCTCGGAATGGGTTACTTTTCCGTTAACCTGTAAACCTGGGGTATCTTCTGTCACTGGCTCCAAAACCAATCTTCCATTGACACATGCCCATTGCACCTGTATGATTTTCCGCAATCATTGGTGCCGTTCCCTTGATATTATTCGCTCTGTTTTTCTCATCTCTGATGATTTTTTTTTCGCGATGTACAGTGAATATTCTCACCTTTCAAATGAATGAAATATACACAATCTGAAACGAAGTGCAACTTGGCAGTCTTTTGACTCAATCAAACACATCTACCCTACTTCGGTTCGTGTCTTACCATTATTCCCTTGCGTTCCGTTTTAGGTTCCCTCACAGACACCGGAGGGCTACATTTGTACTGCACCGGTACAAATGATGAAACATCGGGTGAGTGCAGAATAACCCGGTCCGCGTTGATCGTGATTCATTCACTTGTCGAGAGTTCGTGAAAGCGTGACCGTTTGTGTTGTTA